AACCTCGCATTTGGTCATTCCGGTCGGGACTTGTTACCAGGTCAGGTATCAAGATATACAGTGCCGGCCGGAGGCGACCCACAACCGGGAAATGCAATGATGACAAAGTTTCAAGACCCAGTTGGCGGAGGCTTGAGTGATTGGCGTGGATACAGAGGAAAATGAACCGCNGAACCGCAATGCTTGAGGATGTCTACCGATTATAACTGCACTTGGTCCGCCTTCTACGGCCAGGTTGCGAATCACGGTAGCCACGAGTTGGACACGAAAACCTTCATCATCACCGTAGGCCATATCATGCAATTGTGCTAAACAGCCGGTTTTGGAAGTTTTGAGAGACAGGTGGCTTTCAAAATCTGTGGATGAGGAATAAAAAAAAAACTGTTATTCAAGTATACTGTGAGCAGAAAATAATCACATGCATACGAATATTTGCTTGCATATGCCACTGAAGGATGTGTAGTGCTACGTAGGGCATAGCCCGGAACCAGTAAGCAAGTGTTTAAGATGATAAATGCAGAACTAAAATATTAGGGTCACCGAGAGGGAGAGGTAAAAGTATTCATAGATTTCACTTTACAGTTTCCGTTCAGTTCAGTTTATACAAACATGTAACCATGCACTTTCGTGCGACGGTTTTGATTGCTGTCTCATGGATGAAGTAGTAGGAGAAAGACAGGAAAGTCGAAGTAGAATCGAACAGAACAGTGGGCTAAGGTTACAAAAAAAATTAAGATACACGAACGCCACCGTTTACAACATTCAGTGTCTAACCATCGGTTCCCATCCAGGAAGTCTGACACGAATTATATGACCCAGTCTCATGGTTAGGGTTTTCATACCCTCGTACCAGGTCTTATTTTGACCGATTACCTGCCTCAGCAAACATCACACGCCGTGGCAACCTACCTGGTGACATGTGTAACACATGTCTCAACCAACGTAATCTATAGAGCCCGACCACTTGCTCCAATGAGCGATCGCGGTTACCTAAAACTCGGCGCCTAACCTCAGCATTCCTCGTCCGCTTGCCCCACCAGATTCGTGCAATGCTATGTAGACAGCGATGTTCAGATACTGATAGTCTATCGTCATCTTGTTTTCGTAATGGCCAAGTAACGCAGAGGAGAACTGGTAGAACTGCGGCACCATTTTAGATGGGATCCATGCCGTAAATGGGCGAAGAATGCAAATACAGCAAACTATGATGGAACTGTATAACATTATGCGAAAGAACGATGCCAAGTTGAATCCAAACCAGAGTCACTTTTGAGTTTGAACTCTAGCTGAATTTAGGCATTAGAAGAACCACGGAGACAACAAACAGGTTTCGCATAACATTGCAGACAAATTTTTAATGCAGTAACAAAAACGTTTGGCTAATGGGTCCTGTAGTTCTCCCTTCGTCACTGAAAAAACTTTCATAATTGTCCTAAGTAACGACCAACAGCGAAGCAATACACAGCAAGTTCACCTACCGTTTGACATTATGGTGAAATACCTAACAAGGGTCCAGAGTACATGTCTCGGGAAATCGTAGGCCAAACTAAAATAAAAATAATAAATGCTTCACACGTGCCTGATTGCTGACCGCACTAAAAGATTAATGGCACATTAATCTCTGAGCTTCGGTCTGTTTTCTTGCAGGTCTGGCTTCCTAACCAAAGGCTTCTGGTAGGGACCCCGAGGTTATCTCCCTTCCTCAATCAGGGCAACCGGGAAGTAACATGCTCACAACCTACGAACACATTCTACAGATTTCCTTTTGTTCGTATGTTGTGGCACACTTTGTCAGTTCTCTGTAATTAGTTACGTGTTGAAATAAAAAAATCTTTATCACAAAGAAATCCATTCATGATCTGTTTGTGGGGAAAATACTTCTAGGTTGCCCAGACTAATTTAGGATTCACAATCAGAGCATGCGGATAGACAAAAGCTGATTCACATTGGGGTACCAAGTTCACTTTATCGGATCATATTCCATTCAGCTGGGTTCAGACGACCGACGTGCCCAATCAAGCAGAGAACAATCGGCAAAACCGGGCGGATGTGGCTCGTATGGCTTTTGGTTAAATTGACCAGTCCTGCTCTACGGTGCAGAGACCTGGCCACTAAAGGAACAG